CTGCAATGATTATAGTTCTTATCTTATCTCGCACGTTTGTATTTTCAATAAGGGATAACTCGTACTGACTTTGCAACTACAATTGTACGATTCAGTGAACATTTGTCATTTGTATCAAGTTACAAAATAATTGAAAGTTGTAAACTTTCTTAAAAGTGTCAATCCTATCGTTGAGTCATTAATTTACCTGTTTTACTGTTGTCTAGATTGACACTTCAGCTGTTCAAAGACATCTTTCATTTTTGACATTGTAAGATATGTATAAGTATAGTTAATTTACTCTTTTAAAAACCAAAATAATATATGTATGCTAAATACTTAGCCGTATAAAAAGCAATATATATATAATCCGGAATCACTTTGTCCTACATTCGAATATTAATTTTAGTTTCCGTTGTAATGATCAACGCCAAAAACTTAAACACTTATTCATAGACGAAATCACAGCAAACATAGTTATTTTAACAAATAATTTGTGTATTTTTAAGTGACAAATTATAACTGATGTAAAATCTGACAAGTCAGACCAAAGTACAAAAGAGCCTTCAAGTATTCAGTTAAGTACGGTCATAAAAAAAATTTAAAGCAAGGATGGCTGAAACCTCCTGCATATTATATATATACATTATGTAGTTATGTAACTTACTTAATGTTTGTATAACTCCTTATCATAAGAAATTATGTCTGTTTTTATTTGGCGGGAAATTATTATATTTTCTTTTACTCCAAAACATACGACTTGTGTATTTTTTTATATTGGTGGGAATTTATTTCACTTATGAATTACTCCATATCATGATATTTACCTATTTTTAATTATATTCATGACTCTTTAAATTGGCTGGAAGAAACACCATATAAGTGAATTGCCATGTTTGTTGAATAGTGAGTGGATTGTTAAACAGGTTCGATAAAAGGTGCTTAAGGTGTAAATTAAATCTTGATTTAAAAGTGAATTTTATTGTCTTAAATGTACTAAACATTAAAAGGAAAACGTTTAAAAAAGCTGCAACATATTGAAATTGGCGCCGGAACTCGGGAACCGAGAAATAAAATTTGAAGAGTTTCGACAAAATAGAATTTTTTCACAACGTATAAATGAACACTCTGTGAGATGCAAAAAAAACACAAATCGTACAGTTGGCTCGATTCGTTCAAAGGTAACAGTGATGTGTGGTATCCTATAATGTGTTTATGCGTGAATACAAAGGTGAAGAGGTAACCAGAACAAAGTGTTTCTCAATGGAATTTAAAAGCGAACAAAAAGATAGAATAAATTCAAGGGACCACTGAGGAAAATTTGAATAATGTTACTGTGATTTGTTTGTGTGTTTATAAATATCTGCACAGTCATCATAGGTGACTAACCATATCGGAAAAGCGTGCGCACATGCTACTTCAATTTCCCTAAGAAGGTATTACGAAATAATTTATTAGAAACAAGTATTTAGAGCATAATCCCAGAAAAATACAATAAACTTGAGCAGTTTTCTAATGAAACTTAACTTAAGATTGATATTTATATAGATCAGCTTGCTGTTCGATCAGGAAAGGTAAGGCGTGCAATTGGTGATTCCGTTAGTGAATTTATTCAAAGGAGTGAAAATGATTCGGTATTGTTTGCTTGTGCTTTGTCTATAGTCTTAAAACTGAAAAATGTACAGATCGACCTGAAAAGCAAAATAGCAAAGAATATTATAAACGAGGAGTCGGGCGAACAAGTATCAGCTTTACAAAAAAATGTGTTCAGATGAAACTTCAACAAGCATTCTTTGAACAACAGCAAGAACGGGCAGAAGATCAAATAAAAATGCAGCAGAAATTCTTTGACGAGCAACACAGTCTCACAATAACTTTATTAAGAGTGAGAATACTGTCAAATTGCTAAATTATAAAAGTTAAACATGGTTTCCCCTTTCATTGAAATAATCTACAATGGACGGAATTCTGGGACTCTTTCTCTAGTGCTGCAAATGAAAATGACAAGCTGGAGAAGCTGGGGGTGATATCGCTAGACTGAAATAATCTAATAAAACTACGATATTGTCATAAAAATTCTAAAGGAAAGCTTTGGAATAAACAAAATATAATAGATCTGCCTTATAAGGGGCTTGTGAACGTTGCTTACCCTAAGGATACAACCGAAAGTTTGCGAGTCTTCTACGACAATATACAAAAACACTGAAAAAGTTTGGAGGTAATGCATGAGAATTTGGAGTAACATGTTTTCGTATCAATTATACGAAGCAAACTACCAAGTGAAGGTTTTATTCATCTTGAAGTACGAAAAGTTGCAGACAATAAGTGGATAATAACCAAGCTTCGCGAGTTGTTCAGACAGTAAATTGTATCCAAAGATAGTGAGTGATAAAAAAGGTTCGTTAAAAGGTGATTGAAACGTGTAGTTTTGAAAAAGTGAAAATATTGAATCAAGATTGAAACAATGATTTTTTGTCTTTAATGTAGTAAATTTTAAAGGATAGATTTAGTAAATCTTCTACATAACCCCACCAGAGAAGGAAATGTTTAGAGGTGATAACATAGACTTGCAGTCTTCGTTACCCCCAATTTCTTTAAGCAAAACCTCCTCCTAAATACAAACTTTGAAAGTAAAGTCTTTAGAATTTCTTTGCAAAGGTACAGCACCAAGAGAAAGAACTTTAGGCATGTGACCACGATTTATATTAATCATGCCCCTAGGCTAATTATTGGCCTAGTCTTAGTTTTCATGTGGCGTAAGTGCAAAGCCTTGAGAATAGATATTCATTCATTATTCATTCATTATCTTTATTTCCTCCTTAACTGAAGAGCATTTACATGATTTAGAACATAATATGCATGTTAAAGTTCGTACAAAAAAATCATATATACAATATATATAAATTCAAGATCTTTAATAATATGTTTATTATAAAAGAGTAAAGAAAAAACATATTTTTAAAAGGTACACAAATTTATATATTTACCCACATTGAAAGATAACTAATGCAAAAACATATTTTATACCTATCAACAATAATCAATGGGAAAAATTGCGATAAAAAATGAAATAAAAAATAAAGTACTTAGATGCATACACGTCCTTATACTCGTTACTTTTGTAACAATGTATAACAATAATGTAACAAACTTTGCATATATATATTTTTTTTTCTGATTTAATTTATGACCAATTAGGCCTTGCTATGTAACACTTAAAAACCTTTTGTAAGAGTTAGGTGATAAAATATCATTTCACTCTAAGTTTTTGAACTGCGGATCATTTAGTTTGCATAGACGTGTTTAATAAAAACAGCTTAGATAACACATTTACTAGACTTTCTTTTCCGAAACAATAAAATCCAAGAGTTCAGAATTTTATATAAGCAATGATATGTGGACCTCTACATAATATAAGTCATGTCACTGATCCTTTCCTGGGATTCACTAAGTTTGCATAGATTTGTATGGTAAAAATGTTTTAAAAACTTCTTCTCAGAAACTACAATGCCGAAAGGTTATTAAAAGGTAAAGAATGCACATAGATGCTTTCAAACAATGACTAAGCAATTTCAAATAGTTATATACTATTCAACTTCTTTTAAATATAAATGAAATGTTCTGAATAAAGAAAAAACAGCATTATAGTTTGGTATCATTGGTATCTCTGGCCATTATGGCCCTTCATCAAATTACATCAACATTGTAATTCTAAACCTAATATAAAGCAATTTAGGCATTTGATAATATTTGTAAAACCATTGCAAGCTGTAAATAACAATAAGAAACGTTGTGAATAAAATTGTCCATCATTCAGTTTTAAATGTCGTGCTAGTTCCGATACACGTTCTTAGTTGAAAACTATATGTAAACTACACGTTTGCTAGGGAGGAAACATAGATTCTCAGTCTTGCGAACACTTTTAAGGGCCCTCAGCAATTTAAAATTATCAAAATAGGAATCCGGAGAGCCTTGCATTATACTTGGTATTATAAAATTATGCAAACATGATTTTCAATGCAAATTTGAAAAACGTGGAAAAAACAATTATTCTATTAATATTATATCCTGTCTCCTTAAAGATCCTGTATGTTGCGATCAAAATGGTTAACAACACTACATAATCATGCAAATAAAACAATTTTCAAAAATCGAATAATATGTAAAATATGTACTGCAAATATTTGTGCATATTATATGTATTTTTTAAATATATGCTCTTGTATTTCTTATTGTTAAATTAGTTAAATTTGACTTAAACTTTAAAGAAAATAATTTTTTAATTACCTCCCTTAACTTACATGAAAGTTAAATTCGGTGATGTCTTTATAAAAACTGCTTTTTGAACCTACAATATGGATACATTTTATTTTGAGCATCATATTAAACCATAAAAATTGTGTTACAGGAACTTTCAATTAAATTGGTCAGAATTCTGATTTATTAACTCAGAGCTGAATAAATCGTAATGGATTGTTATCAATGTTGTAAAAATAAAAATAGACAAAATAAATAATAAATAATTTGCAGAAACGTTCATTGACAAATATGTATTAAAATAACGATTATGTTTTTTATTATTTCGATTGTGTGTATGCAATAAAACATTGGCAAAATAACACTTGATAAACATATAACATTTATAATAACAATTATGTTAACCTTAACATCATTTGAATGACTTTCTTGTCAGCTTTTCAAACGTATTGTTCGGAATATAACTTTGTCATAAATAAATGGATACATTTTTCTTTTACTTGACGTAGTCATTTATCAAGTTTTAATGATAAGAACTATATAAAACTTGACAGTCAACATACACAAGAAAAACAGTATAGAGTATAAAGAATCACATGCACTTCATATTAATTGATCAATCAAGTAATAAAGTAACAAATGTAAATCCAATTGAAGGACTTATATTAAAATAAAGTTAATTTACCGTTATTATTATTTTTATCTATTTAGCGTGATTGTAAAAATAATCATATTTTTGCTTTGCAGATTGCTTTATAAATATTTGAACGAGTCTATTTATACGTAGTTAGTATAATATGTCATTCCGTATATGCACATGATGTTGTGGTGTTCTGTTTACCGTCTGTGCTTTTGTCAACCACTGTTGCTTTTGTTAGATCTTTTAAGCGCTGAAATTAAAAAATACAATTATGGAATCGACGATGTTTATCTAAAACGTGCATAAATTACTAAAATTTTCATCAACATTACAAATTGTAAAACAAATAGTATAACTATTCCGCAATCTTTTCACTCTTGAGATAAAAATAACAATTGATAGTTTGTCAACTCACAACACATCTATTCATACGATACATGTACTGGAGGAATGATCAATATACGATAGATGAAAAGATCATTTCTTCATCCATTTGCAAATTAAGTGTTTTCGGTTGAATCATTAAAAATACATAACCCAAAGAAGACATTTTGCTTATCTGGATGTTCAACTATCTTGAACATTCGGTGTTTCCATGCAATTACTCATATTTTGATGGTAGACATTTTTATTACTGTTCAGTAACAAAGGACAAAATTTCAGAATCATACGTTTTAATGATACTATGAATTTGTTACCATTCATCTTAACATTCTATAAATGTAGAATATTAAACAGAGTGTTTTCATTCACTTAAATCTATCTCTCTGAAATAAATTGTTATCCTTGTATAAATTGTGAAATCACTGTTTACTTTCAATGTTACTGCCGATTTTATCAAATCAACAAAAAGGCGTTTAAGTTGATTCTGTATCTCTTGACTTTGACTGCATTCTGTTTGAAGCCATTTTATGTAGTTTATCACTTCCAATAAAATGTCATTCTGCGTTTGGCACGGTTGGCTGTAATATAAGACAATAAAACGAATTAAGGACCAATAAGGATAGTTAAAGTTACACTGAAAAAGATTATGTCTGTTTAAATGCAACTATAACAGTAAAAAATGAATGCTAGTTTTAGTTGCAATGTTTATACCAATATACTTATAGTATGTAATCGTTATTTTCCCACAAACATTAAATACCCATCAACTTCACTAGTGCAAACACAGTCTTCGTTACATTATATCAAGGAAAATGGTTTAATAATACTGGGTCACTGAATAAATAAGAATTGAATTAGTTATCATTTAAAAAAACAACAAAAAAAACAACTTTTTTTTCTTCAAGTCTCTTCATAGAAGAGGAACAAACATAGGCATGGTTTTACATGCTGGTATCTCTATAAACAGTGCATTGGTGTAAGTGTATTAAATATAGACAAGTTTTATCTCTGCAATAAATGCTGGTGAGTATATTCAAATGATAATTAGCACAAACAGAGTATACAAGGTTTGTGACAACATTCGTATATAAATGAACAAAATGCCAAATCATTTAATAGACTGATTTTACATACGACTTGCCGTGCTGAAATCAACGTAAGTTTTATAACACAATGACCGTTACATATGAAACGTAAGAAACAGTTTAAACAAGGACACGTAGCTTATGAATTAAACGTAATTTGATAGATCCACACTTTTTGTTCCAAAAAGAAAATATATAACACGATATATAAAACACCTACCTTGAACTTCCTTCTGGAAGAAGGTTTTTAAGTTCTGTCAATCTGCTATTGAATTCTAAACGCAAGTTTCCCTTTCCTGTAATTCAATACAAAATGTAAATATTTACTGGAAGATGAATTTTTGAAAATTGCGTTTCATAAATTTATGAAACAACATTTCAAGGGCAAAATGCATTTTTTCAAAACTGAACAGCTTAAGAGTTATGGTGTCATTGTTAAGTTTCCAGAAAGTTAGTCATTCAATTTGGCCAAAGACCTATGTCAAGTCCTACAGGAAATGAAATCATCAGTAATAAAAATACATAAATGTGTTGTTGATTCGTTCATTATTCTTTATGACTTTTGATCTTAAAATTGTGACACATTAAAATGAATCAAAAAAAAAAAAAAAATTTCCCCTTTTTGATATAGAAAAAAGATTCATTTAAAACTGAAATAAAAAACTTAATATCAAATTTAAAATGATGATGTTCTTGTATCATTTTTTTTTAACTCGTTTAGACTAAAATCGTTTCAATGCTTTTTTTTTTATCTTTAGATCATTTTTAAATGGAGAAAAGAAATTCTTGAAATCTGAGTGACCGTATGTTCTTTAGTTTTACATTGATCTAGACACACATCAGATGGTAGATAAATCACGCGATTAAATATTGCACAACACACATGCAAACAAACACGGTGGAGTCTCAATAAGAAAGTACATTATTTAGATTCATGGAAAATTTAATGGAAGTTAAAAGGGAAGTAAAATAATAAATCTCAGTAGCGAACTAACAAAGTTACTTAAGCTCGTATATGTTACTTGTAATCTACGCACATAATATAAAATGTGTTATCTTCAAAATGACAATACTAGTACTTCGCCATAAACTGATACGGAAAAGATATAGGGATAAAATAATTAAATTCTCTTTTTGCATACAATGAGCGTTATATGGACTGTGTTTATTCATTGGATACATTTTTGTTCTAAGTTTCCTTGTATACAATGTTCGATTATCTGGAAGCGTGCAATTTTATTGGTACTGCTTAAAATACTTTCAAAATAAGTAAAAGTTAAAAGTTCACGTTTGTTTGTTAACGTGTTGTTCCGAGACGCACCTTCAACTGCATTCATCTCCAATGATTTGTTTGCATTTCCCGCAGATGGAGCCATCTGAAAAGTGACGGAGTCAGATTATTATAATTATTACACTTACACAATTATCAGGTCTTTTTTAGCTCGACTTTTCTATGAAAAGGGGAGCTATCCTACTCGCCCCGGCGTCGGCGTCGGCGTCGGCGTCGGCGTTGGCGTTGGCGTCACACCTTGGTTAAGTTTTTCGTACCACCCCACTTTATTTCAGAAGTATTACAAGTATGGCTTTGAAACTTACCATATTTGTTCACCATCATAACCTCCATCTACAGACAAGAGTACATAACTCTGTCAAGGTTTTTGACAGAATTATGGCCCTTTTTTGACTTAGAAAGTGTATTGAGCTTGGTTAAGTTTTTTGTACCACCTCACTTTATTTCAAAACCATTGGAGGTATTGCTTTGAAACTGACCATACTTGTTTACCATCACGACCTTCATCAACAGACAAGAGGACATAACTCTGTCAAGGTTTTTGACAGAATTATGCACCTTTTTTGACTTAGAAAATACATTGAATATGGGTAAAATCCACTTATTGCCTTAACCCTTTGAGATATTGCTTTGAAACTTTTAATGCTATTTCACATCATTACCCCCATCTGTACGCAAGAGAAGGTAACTCTGTCAAGGATTGTTTTAAAATTAAGGCCTTTTATCGACTTAGAATCTTGGTTAAGTTTTTAGTACCAGTCCACTTTTTGACTGAACTGTTTGAGATATTAATTTGAAAGTTGGAATACTTGTTTACAATCATGATTCCCAAACATGTCCAGGAGAAGGTAATTCTGTCAAAGATTTTATTTGAATTATGGCCCTTAACTGTCAATGTTTTGTATTATAGGCAAGCACTAAAAAACTTAAAAAATCTAAAAAAATTCATTCCTATCCACTTGTTCACTTTACCATAAATTATGTCATATAAACATTGCTGTAAGGGTATCACACAATTCAGTAAAATAATTCTTCACTAAATATCTTAATGCTCATGGCCATTGTTCACTTTAAAAATACAGAGATTCTTGTATTGCCTTTTACTGCAAAAACTTTTTTTATTGGCAAGCAATAAAAAAGTCGAGCGCGCTGTCTTACGGACAGCTCTTGTTGTCACTCGTATATAATCGAACCCAACAGTGTTATACTAAATTGGTGCACATTTATTCCCTTAAGTTTAAAGTCTTATATTAATTGACTTTCATGTACATTCGTATCATAACATTATAAGTCAAATAATCTATATGTTGTGTGCTAATGAAACAAGGTGATCATATTCAAATTTGTAAAAGTTATTGATTTTTGAAATGTACCTTGGCTGAAAAGAAGTTTTAGTGAGTTCAACAACATGTCTACAAATGGATAGAAATGTAATAGCACATAAAGGTAGTGCTTTTAATATTCTAAATAATCAAACGATAAAAGAAGTTCACACCTACATTTCTAAACACTTGATTATTTAAGAATCAAAATATTATATAAAGTAGATCTTTATCTGAAGTGTTAGGACAATTTACCGACTATGAAAGTTTGAACTCAATATTCCTAAAATCTGCTGAAAAAAATACCTATTTCGGCCTGTTGGCAAAGGTTTATGACAAATCTGTTAATCAACAGAACAAATCATTAATAGAACAATAAGATAAATTATTAATTACACATGTATAAGTTTCTGTTACGTTAGACAACAAATTTTATTTGTATTTCACTCTTTGCTAAATATAGTAAAAATGATTATTTTATTGTTTTGTATAAATGGTATGTCCAATATATAAAAATTATCATGTAAAGGTATACATGTATCAAATGTTTACGTTTTTTATTTAAAGACATTTGAAAAAATTAAATTGTAAAGATTGAAGGCTTTAATGGTAATATTATGAAAGAGCCTACTTGTCATGTTTTGATTCATCAAAAGTGACTTATTTGTGTTTTAGATTTACTCTTTGATAAACACAAATGATAGCATGAAATGTCATGAAAATGTGCTACAAATGAAATCTCTTGTTTATACATAGACACAAAGCACTAACAAAATATACAAAGCCACAAAGGTCAACAAATAACATTACAGAATATTAATGCTATAAGTTCAAATATGAAAGATGTATCAACCTCGTTACTGAAACCTTGGTGGCTATATGTGGGTGTTTTCAATTTATATTGTCTTCTTCATTTAATAATTAACTAAATTACTTCTGTCAGTTTATTCCTCCCCGTATCGTTTACATATTTGCATATTTTTTACGTTATTTATCCACTTAAGCAAAATGTAAGACTACGTGTCTTGTTGATAAATGTGTTTTGTAATTACACATAGAGCTACCAGAAAGTTAAAGTGAAAACAACAGCGTAAATATATTACATTTGATGCCATTTGTGTCCTAATAAAATACAGCGAACTATTAAACTCTATATTGTTGAGATTTTCGTTCTCTAACTTTTCTAAAATATGTTCCATTTAGCTAATTGTGTCATTGATTGGCATAAAGGAAAATGTTAAATGACGTAGTCAACGACAGTTAAGTGTTAAACAGACAGATTATGTCGGAAAGTAATTTAGAGACGGTTTAAATGTAAAGTAAAGGTTTAATGAAGCAATAAATTTAGTCATATGGTATACTTGTAAGCCATAAACTGTCATAATTCCTCATTATTCATACAGTTTCAAGTTAGTTAATGAAATGTTTTCATATAAGAAATGTATGTGTTAAGATTGTAGCTTGAATTTAAATTTTTTTAGATGATATATATTATTAGGATTATATTTTCTATTGCTTTATATATGATGTCATTATTTTTATAAACAAAGTTAAAATTTGAACGTATCAGTTAAAGCACATCTTACTCAATATGAAAAATACTTTCTGTCACGATTTTTCATGAGAATTTGCTTTGATCAGGTTTTATAAATGACTTATCAGGACGATGGTATGTCTAGTAAAATGTTCATTTTACTCATAGCTAAGATTTTTAGATATATAAACAATTACTCAAACAAGTGGCTCATGAAATACCATACAATACGATACAGAACTTAGAAAGTTTGTAGTAATAACGATCATCACAAATACATAAGAAAAGGCTTACAAAGGGTATATGCTTTAGTAAATTCACAATTATGAAAACGTATGAAACTTATATTTTCAATTGTTCATTTAATATAAAATTAAATGAAACAAAAGATATTTTCGTGTCAAATATATCTTATAATTAACAAATTGGAGAAACTTAAAAGCTTTAATAAAACAAGATATGCAAGGCAAAATAACGTGAGAAATATTAAGATTTGTAAGGAAAAGATTTATATATCTATTTTCTATATTATTGAATCTATAAAGTCATGACTGGTCGACATTATTTAATACGACAAAAAATGGAATATTAATTTTTTGACTTAGCGTTTTATCAATAAGGTTTTTAATTTGACTACATGACCTCAAATAGTACGATGAAAAGTTATTTATTTTGTATTAAAACAACTTAGGTTAAAAGTTAGAGAAGGGCGATATGCCACTTTATGCGAACGGCATGGACTTACAGGTATAGTAAACAAACTATAATTAAAATATCATATAAATGTTTTTTTTTAATACAACATTGTTATGCTTCATTATTTAAACTCAGTTCTACTTTGTTTCTACTCTCTATTGGGTTACGTTTTATGTCCATCTTCTCTAGATGATAGATGGAAATTGATTAGATAGTCGTTGCACTTACTTTCTTAAAAACATATTAAAAGCAGTTGTGATGTTTTGTAATTTTATGGATATTTCATATAATGACCATAAATCAAATGCAACATATGTTTGGTATTCACTCTGAGTACAAATTTTATCGGATTTTATGCTGTGACTTTTTGTATAATTTGTATCATCTGCAATATTGTTTTATGACTTACTTTAAAACTGAAAACGTCCAAAGTCGACTTTTTCTAAGTCCTTATTAGGAAAAACTAAATCTAAATTATAAATACATGCAATTATGTCTTCATTACATTTTAACACCATATAAGGATAGTATAAATCCTAAGTCAAAGTTTCTCTTAATTTTGACTGTACAAATTCCTTGTTAAGCCTCTATAACACCTATTTATTAGATTTTTGAATAATAAATTATAGTTACTTTCTCCTATAATTGTAAACGGAGCCGCAATTAGGAAACAGCCGATCAAAATAAGAGTTTTTGAGTCAAATTTAGTAGTTCGGGGTTTCACAATTCTAATAAGTAGTTCATAAAGTTAAAACTTGATAGTTCAGAAATATCTTTTAGGTTTTCATTTCTCAAACTTGGGAATACAATAATCAAAATAAAAGATTAAAGATAGTTTTATTAAGTTAAATATCACAACTCAATAAATATTTAATTCTAATTAATAGCTCAATTAGTGTCTATGCTTTGTCCATAATAATGCTTTGTGCTTTGTGTTTTATTTGCTTCCATAATCACAAATAGTGCAATTATTGATACACTATACAGAACTGAATATCTATAAGATATTTTGCGTACATTGATGTTTGTATATTCGCAATGGAAATCGCAAAAAAAAAATCATGTAACAATTCAAAATTCCTATAACTGATACAAAAAAACCGTTATTAATGTTTGTGTGTGTGAAGACGACGGTATTGTTCCTATTAAACTTGTTTCATCGATTTCTATAAAAAATATAGCCATCTTATTTGGGAAATTATCCGAGACCCTACATTTGAACCTAATTAATGGCAATGACAAACTAAATGCCTAACTTTACA